CCTCCTCCTCCTCCTCCTCCTCCTCCTCCTCCTCCTCCTTCCTCTTCTCCTCACCCTTCCCACCCTGCACCTCCTGCATTTCCTGCTCCTGCTCCTGTGCCTCCTCCGCCCAGCATGCCCGAGGCTTTCTTCGCCCCCGAGGGGGAGCTGGCCCAGCTCTTGGGCATCTGCTCCAGGCCTGCCGGGCAGCGCCTCGCCGCGCGCCAGCCTCCCTGTCCTGCTCTCCATCCTCCTCCTGCCCCTGCCTCTCCTCCTCCTCCTCCTCCTCCTCATCCTCGCCTCCCTCCTCCTCCTCCTCCTCCTCCTCCTCTCCATCCTCTTGCTCCTCCTCCTTCTCCTCCTCCTCCTCCTCCTTCTCCTCCTCTCCAGTTTCCCTCGTCCTCCTGCTCATCACCCTGCTTACCTCGAAGAAAAACAAACAGCACGAGCAGAAACTTGTTGGCGGTCCGCGCGGATTTCTTGGATCCGCGACACCCGGACCAGACATTTGGCGTTCACTAAACGGCCCTGGGCGTTTACTACACAGCCCTGCCCTGTTCGAGTCCTTCCTTGGGCGCGTTTGCTAAACGACTTGGCGTGTCGGAGTGGTTATTGTGTGTGGGGGGGATGTTTCGACTTCTACTCTTCCCCCCCGTGGTCCTGCTGCTGCTTCTGCTCCTCCTCGACCTCCTCCGCCTCCCGCTCGAGCGCCATCCCGCCCTCTCCGACGCTGGTGCGGCCTGCGCCAGGCAGAGGCGCAGGGACCCTCCGCGCACGCGTGGTTGCCTCGGGTGCCACTCGGTGACGCGAGGCGCTGCCGTGCGGCTCGCGCCTGGCGTTTTGCGGTGGAAGCCATCTCTTGTGCACGATTCCTTCCTCGCTCCTTGCCCCTCTCTCCACTCGTCCTCCTGTTCCTCAGCCCACCCTCTCTCTCTCTTTCCCTCACTCGAGGAGGAGGTGGGGGAGGAGGAGGAGGAGGAGGAGGAGGAGGAGGAGGAGGAGGAGGAGGAGGAGGAGGAGGAGGAGTAGGAGGAGAAGGCCAGCCAATGTCGGTCTAAAGCAAGAGAAGAAAGGAGGAGGTAGGGACGAGGAGAGGAGGAGGAGGGAGGAGGTAAGACGAGGAGGAGAAGGAGAAGAGAGGAGGAGAGGGAGGAGGGGGAGGAGGGGAAGGAGGGGAAGGAGGAGGAGGAGGAGGAGGAGGAGGAGGAGGAGGAGGAGGAGGAGGAGGAGGAGGAGGAGGAGGAGAACAGGGGGACGACAACTCTACACCAGCAGCGGTCCTGGCCAGGGCGATCATCGGCCCAGCCCCGCTGCGGGCGCCGTCCCGGGCCGAGTCGCTGGGGCGGGGCGTCTATGCGCCGATCTTGGGCCCAGGGAGGGCCTCGCTATGACCGGTGCGGGTGTACCGCTGACAACCCGTCGGCGGCGACGGCGACGACGAGCGGCCACGTGTGAGCGGGGGAACGAGAAGAAGAAGAAGAAGGAGGAGAAGAAGAAAAAACATAAGGAGGAGAAGAAGGATAATAATGATAATAATAAGACTAATACGAATACAAATAATAATGCGAAAACTTATAGTACTACTAGTACTAGTGTTAATACGAACACTAATATTAATAATAATAATAATGATAATAATAACAATACGAATACGAATACTAATAATGATACTAATACTAATAATAATAATCATCTTAATAATAATAATAATAATAATAATAATAATAATAATAATAATAATAATAGTAATAATAATAATAATACTAATGATAATAATAATAGTAGTAGTACTACTGATATTAATAATGATAATGAGAAGAAGAAGAAGAAGAAGAATAATAAATGACGACGATAAGAATAACCAGAGGAAAAAAAAGAAGAATAATAATAATAATAAGAAGACGGCACTCTCAGAAGGCGGCGAGACTTCTCAGAGGCCCTCGCGCGTTCCGAGGGGAGTGCTCGGGAAGCCTCCTCAGGAGGCCGGGGGCCCTCCGAGCCTTCCGAGAAGGCCCTCTCCGACGCTCGGGCTCTCGGGCCGTTCCTCGGGCCTGCGCGTCGGGGAGCCTGGTCGTGACCGAGGCTCGCCGGGGCCAGAAGAGTCCCTCCGTTCTTTGGTGTGCGTTCCTCGTGCGTGCCTTCTGTGCGTGGCTCTCCCTCTCTCCCTCCACCCACCCACTCCCCTCCTCTCCCCTCGCTCCCTCCCCTCCCACCTCCTCTCCCCTCATCTCCCTTCCCCTCCCCTCCTTCCCTATGCTCCCCGTCCCACTCTATCCGATCTCCCCTGCCCTCCCCTCCTCTCCCTCCCTCTCTCCCTGCGCGCTCCGCCGCCGCCGCTGCTGCTGCCGCCGCTGCTTCCCCTTTCCCGCCTCCACGCCGCCTCCGGGGCCGGGCGTGCATGCGTCGCCTCTGCGCCTTCTCCGGGGATCGCCGGGGGCGGGCTGGAGTCGAACACGAGTCGAAACGAGGGACAGGACGTCGCCGCCGCCGTCGTCGTCGTCGTCGTCGTCGCCGCGAACTGCCGCCGGTCCCCGCGCCACGGCGGAGCGGAGCGGCGCCGGCCCGATGGCTCGCAGCGAGCCAGGCGTGGCCCTCGCAAGGGGCGCGGCCGGGCCACCCGCCGGCGGGGCGCGGAGGTGGCCGCGCCTCGCGGGGCCTGAGCCCGCGGAGGGGCGCTGGGCCGCTCTGAAGGAAGGAGGGGGCGGAGGAGGCGGGGGGGGAGGAGGGTGGTGAGGGACGGGAGAGAGAGGGTGATAGGGAGAGGAGGGCGGGAGGGAGGGAGGGGGTGAGGGGAGGGTGAGGGGAGGGAGGTGGAGGGAGGGGAGGGGAGGGGAGGGGAGGGAGAGGGAGGGAGGGGTGGGGAGGGAGGGAGGAGTGAGGGCGGGATGGGAGGGAGGAGGGATTGGAGGGAGGGAGGTGGAGAGGAGGAGGGAGGAGGAGGCGGAGGAGGAGGAGGAGGAGGAGGACGTTCACGTCGCAACTGGGCCTCCAGATGCCTCCGAGGCGGGGGTCGGGAGCAGCCCCCAGAGTGGGGGGAGGGATAGCAGGCGCAGGAGGGGGGCGCAGAGAGGAGGCAGCCGGAGAGGGAGGGAGGGAGAGGCTCACCCTCTACAACGACGGAGCCGACTTCGCCCTGCACACCACGGAGGTGATAGGCGGACGCACCCTCGCCGCCCGTCGCGCCGGTCGAGCGGCCATGGGGCCCTCTCGGGAGCCTCGATCATTTCAAACGGGAGTCCGCCAGAGCGCCCGATCTTGCAGGATCCTGCAGGGCCAGGGCCGCATTGACCCGGGCTTGGGTGCAGGACCCTGCAGGATCCTGCAGGATCCCTCGCATTGACCCGGGGCTGGGTGCAGGATCTTGCAGGATCCTGCAAGGCCCGACTGAACCGGGTCTGGGTTGACCCGGGTCAGTAGATTGACCCGGGCCAGGAGATCCCCGACCCTCGCGGTGTGCGGGGCAAGGGGAGGAGGGGGTGGATGATGCGAAGGGCGAGGGCGAGGGCTCGAGGTTCGAGGCTTTCGGGCGCTTCCGTCGGTTCCCGTCGGCGTTGCGGCCCCCCGGATGTTCTCCAGCGGCTGCGCCTCGCCGAGAGCGTCCGGGGGGGGTCCAGATCCTTCGGAACGGCCGCTGGCAGCCCGAGTTGTGAGCCGAGGCCACCTCGGGGGCGAGGAGGAGGAGGTCGAGCAGGGGGAGGCAAGACAGGATGACGCTCGGGCAGCTGCGGTCTCCTCCGCCGGGTCACCGCTCGGAGTGGTGAGGAGCATGGGCCGACCGATGCAACCGGTGGCTTCAACGGCGTGCACTCGGGCAAGCTTGCGGGACCATGATCAGGAGGGAAAGAAACACACAGACACAATTAATCGTCATCCTCAGGAAAATATTGGAATATATGGGAAGTGGGGGGGAAAACAAAAAGCCAGAAAATATGGGGAAAGATGGGGAATCCTTTTATTTGTGTGTATTTAGTTGTGTGTCCCAGGGCCCCTTCACATGAGCCCACGGGGGGAGGCTCTGAGGCCCGTCGGAACGGGGCGCACTGTCCTCGACGAGTGCTCACAGACCCAGGGGTCAGCGCTCTCAGGCCGAGCAGGGGGAGGACGACGACCATGATCAACCCAGAATGCATCCGCGACGTTGCAACGCACCCTCCCGTGCCGAGTCACCGGCTCATCAGGAGGGGGGCAAAAACACAGAGACACACTTAACCGTCGACTCCCGGGATATGTGGGAAAATATGGGAAGTGGGGGGGGAAAGACGAACACCCAGAACATAAAAGGAAGCTATGGGGAATCCTGGGGTTTGTGCCGGTTTATTTGCGTGTCCCAAGGCCTCCTCCTCCTCCTCCTCCTGGTCAATTCGGGGTTCCCCCCCTCCTGGTTCATTCGCTTGCAAAGCGCACGATTGGTCGCACATGCTTGAATCTTGTCTTGCTTCGCGTCTCACGCTGTGTGGTCTCCTGGCAGACGAGACATTCGGCCCGATATCGTTCCGCCCCGCCGCCGCCTCCCCCCCTCCCTTCCTCCTCCTCTCCCTCCTCCTCTCCTCCCTCCTCCCTCCCTCCTGCCTCCTCCCCCTCCTCCTCACCTCCTCCTCCTCCTCCTCCCCCTCCTCCTCCTCCTCCTCCTCCTCCTCCTCCTCCTCCTCCTCCTCCTCCTCCTCCTCCTCCTCCTCCTCCTCCTCCTCCTCTCCTCCTCCTCCTCCCCTCCTCCTCCTCGCTGCGAGGGGCGGGGCGCCCTCCCGTGAGCGACCAAGGGCCCCCCACGGGCCTGCCGCGCGGTGCGGGCGCGGGGGGTGCCCCGCTTCGAGGAGCAGCGGCCCCGCGTCCTCGGCATCGCTCGGACGTGTGCATTTTTTCTTGGCGAGAACCATCCTGGACCATCGAGCAAAAAAACACACACGCGCGAAACCGAAAAGTGCACGGGAGACGGACGTCCGAGCGATGGCGAGGCGTCCTTCTGGCCGGGAGGAGTGCGAGGTGGCAGGATCCAGCGAGGAGTCCCGTTCGGAGTTGGCAGGATCCAGCGAGGAGCCCCGTTCGGAGTTGGCAGGATCCAGCGAGGAGCCCCGTTCGAAGTAATAGGATCCAGCGAGAGGTCCGTTCGAAGTGGTAGGATCCAGCGAGGAACCCCGTTCGAATTGGTAGGATCCAGCGAGGACCCCGTCTTGACAAGGAGCCGCCCCCACCATCCATGTAGGTGTTGCGCACGTTCTACACGTCTGGCCACACACACAGGAGGAAGTCCCAACCGACATGCCCAGGTGGAACAGGCGCTGCGCTCGATCTGTGCACTGGTTGCTCAAGTTTGCACTTCTGGCTGCATGCTGGATGAAGCCTCAAGCGAGAACACAAGCTTGAACAGCAACCGCTATCCATCCCTCTCGCTGCCGGATGCTTTTGAAGCGCACCTGCGCGGCGCTCGGGCGAAAGTCCTGCTCTGAAGCCGATATGCCCGCCATCATTGCATGACATGCGAACGCGTTGAAGACGAAGGATCGCCAGGCCGAGGCGAGAGCCCCGCTCTGACGCCGATCCGCCCTCCAGCCTTCTTACGTGTTGGACGTTGTTAAGACAAGTGCGCGCGGCGGCGCGAAGGCGATCACCAGATTCTGCAGCAGCAATGGTAGATGCTCCTGTTCTGAGTGCTGGAAGCGGTCGAGGCGGAAGTGACCTGCGCCAAGGCGAGATCCCCACGTTGAAAGCGATGTGCCGTCCACCCATGTAGCCCCTGGCCACGTCAAGTTTCAAGATTGCAGTCGGTGAGGGAGTCTCGGGCAGAACGTCCGACCAGCCCTGGCGTCACGCCTGGTAGTGCGACGATGAAGAGAGATGAAGAGATACCCATATGGGGAAAGCAGAGGAGGTGGAGAAGGAAACGTGGAGGATTTGAGTGGGGAGGGAGGGAGGCGGCGGAGGTCGAGGGTGGGGATACGGCGGAGGAGGGGGAGGAGGAGGGGGAGGAGGAGGAGGAGGAGGAGGAGCTTTCCCAGAGACACCTCTGGGCTTTCGTCCCTGTCCTCCCCCTCACCCTCTTCCCTACCCCCTTTATATATCCTGCTTACTCCTCCCCCTCCACATTCCCACCCTCACCGCATCCTGACGTCGTTCACCCTCTCTCCGTCCTCCTCCCCCCTTCCTCCCTCTTCCTCCTCCTCCTCCCGTCTCATCCCTCCCCCAACCTTCTCCCACCTCTCATCCCTCCCCCGCCCTCGGAGATGCCTGGCTGAGGCTTGTCGGATTTCTTCCTTGTGCCCCCGGAGTCTTCCTGGGGGCCCGAAGGTTTCTTTCTGCCTTTGCGCAAGTATCGAAGACGCCTACGGCGAATCATTGCCGACCCCTGCCTTTTGGAATCGCCCATGTGGCCGAGCGTTGTGGCAAAAGCTCTGCCAAGCTGTCAGACCATGTGTTCCCCCAGCCGTTGTGGAAACCCTTCGAGGAACACTTGGGGGAGGATGGCGGGGAAGATCAGGAGGAGGAGGAGGAGGAGGAGGAGGAGGAGGAGGAGGGGGCAGCTTGGGAGCCTCTGGGGACTCTTGGCGTCTCCTGGGAGCTTCCTGGGAGCTTCTTGGAGGCATCTTGAGGGCCTCCTCGGGCCTCTTGGGGGCCTTCGGGGGCTCCTCGGGGGCCTCTTTGCTCGTCTTTGGGCGTTCCTGGCCCGTCTGACTCCTTGGGCGTCTTCGAGGCTTCTTGGGTCATCTTTGGGCCCTCTTTGGGCCATCTTGGGGGCATCTTGGGGCTTCCTGGAGCAGTCCTGGAGGCTTCTTGGGCGCTCTTTGGGCGATCTTGCTGGCCTCTTGGGCCGTCTTGAGCCGTCGGAAGACCGAAAAGGAGCAACCCCCCTAATCCTTCAAAAGCTCAAGGAAGATCAAGGAAAGTTAATTATGTTCCTCTTCGGGCTCTCTTGAGACGTTTTGGCGGCTTCTTGGGGCGCGTTGGGAGGTCTTGGGCCATCTTGAGGCCATCTTGGGCAGTCTTGGGTGCATCTTGGGCAGTCTTGGAGACATCTGGGGGCCTTCTTGGGCCCTCTTGGGGCCATCTTGAGCGTCTTGGAGGCCTCTTGGGCCGTCTTTGGGCCATCTTGGGAGCCTCTTGGATCGTCCTGGGGCCATCTTGGAGGCTTTTTGGGCACTCTTAGGGCGGATCTTGATGAGCTCCCGTCTTGGGCCGTCGGAAGGCCGAGGGAGAAAAAGCCAAAATCCTTCAAAAACCAATGGGAAAAAACAATTATTGTAATGGCCTCTGGCCAGTGCCGCCGATCCGGGGGGCTCCGGATTCGGTGATTTTCACGGCTTTCTGGCCTCCTCCCTCCTTGATTCTTCCGGTCCGTCCTCTTTCTTCTCCTCCGGGGGGAGGCCTGCAGCGGTCCCGGGGGAGGTCCGGGGAGGGTTCCGAGGGGTCTTGTGGGCGGTAGCGGCTAGATCTGAGGGGGGTCCCTGGGACCCCGAAACATCTTGGGGATGCGCAAATCATTAAGAAAACGCCAGATGAGGGACCGCCCCCCCCCTCCCCGCCTTCCCCGGGAGGGGTCCCGATGCGCAAATCATAAAGAAAACGCCAGATGGGGGACCGCCCCTCCCCCCCTTCCCCGGCAGAGCCACCCCGGCGACCCCCCCCCAGCAGAGCTGAAGCTCTTGCTTAGGCTCATAGCTGAAGCTCTTGCTGAGGCTCCTTGTAGCTCACACGCCGGATCGGCGGATTTTGACCTCTTCGGGACGTCCTGGAGGAACTCTTCGAGGCGTCTTGGGCCGTCTTGGAGGCCTCTTGGAGACCTCTTGCGCCGTCTTGGGACGTCTTAGATGTTTCTTGTGCGAACTTGGAGGCATCTTGGACTCTTGGGCCGTCTTCGAGGCCATCTTGGACGAACTTGGAGGTCATCTTGGAGGCCATCTTGGAGCCGTCTGGCGCCGAAAAACATTTTGCAGCCACCTGTTACGCATCTCTGGCGGGACGGGCCGAAACCCGAGGGGGAGTTCTTTTGGAAAAAACCAAAACCAAAACCAAAAGCGAAAGGGTCTAGCACGCCGGGCACCCCTGTGATGAATCAACAGGGGGCGGCGGATCGAAGACGCCTGCGGCGAATCACCGCCGCCCCCTGCCTTTTTGGAAGCGCCTGGGTGGCCGAAAGTTGGGTTTGAGTTTGGCCAAGTTATCGAGCCACGCGTTCCCCGAGTGGGTTTCGAAAGCCTTCGGGGAACACGGAGTCGGGCGAGCTATCGGACCAGGTGGTTTCCGAGCTATCGGGCCTTCCTGGAGGACGTCTTGGAAGGGTTTTGGGCCGTCTTGGAGGCCTTTGACGGGCCTTTTGGGCAGTCTAAGGCCATCTTGAGGCCATTTGGGGCCGTCTTGGGTGCATCTTTGGGCCATCTTCGCTGTCTTGGGCTTCTTGGGCTGTCATGGGGCTATTTTGGATGCCTTTTGGGACGATGTTGGGACCCTCTTGGGCCGTCGGAGAGCTGATAAGAAGAAGATGCATAAATCCTTCAAAAGCCGGAGAATCAATGATGTTTGCCCCTTCGGGCCTTCCTGCAGGACGTATTGGAGGTCTCTTGGGGGCCTCTTGGCCAGTCTTAGGCCATCTTGGAGCCATATTGGGCCGTCTTGGAAGCCATATTGGACCATCTTTGGCGACTTGGAGGCCATCTTGGAGGCCATCTTGGGCCAACGTGACCATCTTCGAGGCCATCTTGAGCCGTCTTGGGGAATTGTTTGCGGTCGGGCCTTTCCAGGACCCTAGCGGGATCGGCCGAAGCCCCAGGGGGAGTTCGTTTGGAAAAGAAGCAACACCAAAATCGAAAGGATCTAGCACGCCGGGCACCCTGGTGATGAATCAACTTGGGGCGGCGGATGACGGAAAGAGCGAGGTACGAGCGAGAGACGTTTCGCAGGGGGCGAAGCCCTCATAGGCAGGGGGTCTGGGGGAGGGGGCTTGCGGGGGAGCAAAAGTCTAGTTGCCCTCGTGCCTTGTTTTTTTTTGTTGCGAGTGAAGCGGCTCCCGGGCGGCTCCCATGGCTTGTTTCTCCGTATTTTTTGGTGTGAACCGGCCAGATGGCCCCAAGACGGCCCAAGAGGGCCCCAACACGGCTTCAGAGGACCCCAAGACGGCCGCAAGAGAGTTGCAGATGGCCTCTGGACGGTCCAAGAGAGTCTCGAGACGGTTCCAGAGTCCCTGAAGAGGGCCTCCAAGAGGGCCACAGGAGGCCAACAACATTGATTTCCCTCGGGTTTTTGCCAGGTTTTTTTTTGGCTCCCCCCCTTGTCAGTCTCAGAAGGGCCCCAGACAGCCCAAGAGGCCCCAAAGATCTTCCCAAGACGGCCCGAGAGGCGCCCCAAAGGGGCCCGAAACGGTCCAAGAAGGCCCCCAGACGGACCCCAAACGGCCCAAGAGGCCCCACATATCGTCCCTAGACAGCCCCAGAGGCCCCCCCGAAGGGGCCGAAGACGGTCCAAGAAGGCCCCAAGACGGTCCAAGAGTGCCCCGAGAGGCCCAAGAGGGCCCCCAGACGGCCCCAAGAGAGCCCCAAAAGGCTCCCGAGCGGGCCCCAGGAGAAGGGGGAGGAGGACGAGGAGGAGGAGGAGGAGGAGGAGGAGGAACGAGGACGAGGCCAAGGGAGGAGGGGAAGGAGGAGGAGGCGAAGGAGGAAGAGGGAGGTGAGGAGGAGGAGGAGGAGGATGGAGGAGGAGGAGGAGGGAGGAGGAGGAGGAGGAGGAGGAGGAGGAGGAGGGGAGGAGGGGAGGAGGAGGAGGAGGAGGAGGAGGAGGAGGAGGAGGAGGAGGAGGAGGAGGAGGAGGAGGAGGAGGAGGAGAGGTGGAGGAGAAAGAGAGAGAGGAGGAGGAGGAGGAGGAGGAGGAGGGAGGAGGAGGAGAGGAGGAGGAGAGGGTAGGTGGAGGTAGAGGAGGAGGAGAGGTAGAGGAGAGAAGAGAAGGAGGACGAAGGAGGAAGACGAGGAGGAGGAGGAGGAGGAGGAGGAGGAGGAGGAGGAGGAGGAGGAGGAGGGGGAGGGGGATGGAGGAGAAGGAGGAGGAGGAGGAGGAGGAGGGAAATGACGAGGAGGAGGAGAAGGAGGGAGGAGGAGGAGGAGGAGGAGGAGGAGGAGGAGGAGGAGAAAGAGTAGGAGAAAGAGGAGGAGGAAAAAGAGGAGGAAAAAGAGGAGGAGAAGGAGAAGGTGGAGGAAAAGGACGAGGACGAGGGAGGAGGAGGAGGAGGAGGAGGAGGTGGAGGAGGAGGAGGAGGTGGAGGAGCAAGGCTCCCAACTGAAAGCGGTGACGTAGCACGCGCTTACCAGCAATGCTCCCAAGAACGACCGGTGACGCAACAAGCATCTCTGGGCACGAGGACTCTGAACAGAGAGCGGTGACGCAAAAGCTCTCCCCAGCAAGGCTCCCAACAGACTGCGGTGACGTAACACGTGCTTACCAGCAAGGCTCCCAAGAATGAGCGGTGACGCCACAAGCTCTTACCACCAAGGCTCCCAAGAGCGAAGGGTGCCATGAGCCATCTCGGGCAAGTTGCTGAAGCGCTCTTTCTGTTCCCGTGCCGGCCCAGGTCTCGTGGCCTTCGGCCCATCCCGCCACCGTGCTTGGGTTGTGGATTAGAGGCCTCTTGGATGTTCGTTCGGACCTCGTGGGGGCCCTGTCGGGTGCTTCCTGGCGGCAGTTTTGAAGCCTCTTAGGTGCCGTTTGGTGGCCTTTGGGGGCTTTTGGGGGGGCCTCTTGGGGGCCTCGTGGGGCCTCTAGGGTGCCTTTTGGAGTCTCTTGGGGGCCTCTTGGGGCCTCCTGGGCGCTTCTTGGGACGGAAGACTCGAATTGTCGGTTCGTGTTCCCCTCCTTGGGCCCTTCTTGGGGCCGTCTTGGAACCCTCTTGGGCGATATTGGGCGCCTCTTGGTCCGTTTGGGGGCCCTCTTGGACCGTTTTGGGGCCCTCCTGGCGGCCTCTTGGGCCGTCTTGGGGCGGTCGTGGGGGCCTCTGGGGCCATCTTGGAGAGTGGGAAGCCTGACGACGAGGGAACGCGAAACAAATATAAACACAGAATGGACATCAATTGTTTTTGCCTTTTTGGGCCCTCTTGGCGGTCCTGGGGCTTCTTTGGGGCTTCTTGGGCCGTCTTGGGGCCATCTTGGGCGTCTTGGGGCGCTCTTGGGCTGTCTTGGAGGCCTCTTTGGACCCTCTTGGGCGCTTTCTGGGGCCCTCTTGGCCCGTCTTGGAGCCCTCCGGCCTCTGAGAAGTCACGCGCGGGAACGCCGGGGAATGAGAACTTGAGGCCCCAGCCCTGAGCACAGAACAGAGGACACATGAGAGCTTGGAGACAACTCCTATCCGCGCCCCGCGGCACGGCGGCGGCAATACCGCAAGATGGTTATACTGTGTATGTGCGTGTCGGACGCACGCCGTCGAGGAGGATGCACGGTACCAGAATGGTCCTTGCGCGCATTGGCAGGCCTGGAGGTTGACACCACCACCAACAGGGCGGTGTGCTTCCACCGAGGGACGGCGATCCCGACCTCGGCGATGGTGGTAATAATTTGGGCTTCCCAGGTGGCCAGGTGGCCGAAGGAGTACCGCCGACACCGAAATATCTAGGATCCGCTTCCCCCTGTGGAGGCAAGGCCCCCTGTGTTGGTGCTGGTGCCCATTTCCAGGCCCCCAGTGTGCGTGCCCTCTTCGTCACAAGATGGTTCTGCAGTCGGCCTTGATTAGGAGGTCGACCCTGCCAAGTCAAGGGTCCCCTTGTGTCCTCTGCCTCGAAATCCATGCCTCCTGCATTCCTATGGCGCTGTGTCCCTCGGAAGGAGGAGGAGGAGGAGGAGGAGGTGGAGAAGGAGGAGGAGGAGGAGGAGGAGGAGAGGGAGGAGGGGGAGGAGGAGAAGGAGGAGGAGGAGGATAGGATAGGATAGGATAGCAAGGTGACGGTGTCAATGGAGGAGGAGGAGGAGGAGGAGGAGGAGGAGGAGGAAGAGGACGAGGACGAGGACGAGGAGGAGGCGGAGGAGGAGGAGGACCAGTGCCATGTGTCCTGTCGCGTGTCCTGTCCCCCCGCGGCGCGCGCGCGCGCCGAGGCGGCCGCGGGCGCGTCGTGGGGCGCCACACGCGGCCGCTGCCGGCGGACTGCGGTGTGCAGCCCGGCGACCGGGCCAGGCGCGCCGCTGCTCGAGGGGGGGGTAACGAGGGCAATGTGAGTCGGGGGTCCCCAAACGGGGTGGTGACCACACCGTGCGGCGAGTCGGTGGGGGTTCGGGGGCCACCGCACGGTTTTGGGACTCGGGTCGTTCTCCGAGGACGTCTGGGGCGACTTGGGGCATCCGAGGTCCCAAAGCCGTGCGTTGACGGACCGTGCGGTGAGGCCATGGGGGATTTCGAGGTCACCGCACGGTCTGTCACCGCACCGTTTCGGGACTCCAAAGTTAGGGGCGGGGATGGGCATAGGGTTAAGTCGGGCCCGTCCCTCTGCAGGAGGAATATTCAAAAATAGTAGAAAAATAGTATGGGGACGATTTGGTGATCATTTTTTGACCATTTAGGATAATTTCTTGAGTATGTGTAATTGTTCGTCCAAAATCCCCCTGTAGGGGGACACGTCCGACCTAGGCATAGGGTCGGCGTCACCCCAACATACTGAAACTGTATGTGCGTCGCCCCCCAGGGGCGACTCGCGCACCGAGAAATCTAAGAGTATGTGCGTCGTTGTGGGCGCTTTTTGGCCACACCGCTCGAGAAACGATTCTCTACAAGATGGGTATACTATTTGTTCGGGTCGGACGCGCGCCTCCAAGGCGGACACATAGTACTAGTAGGTCTCTGTGCGTCCCGTAGGGGGGGATGCACCGACCCCCAATCACCAATGGATCACCGATAGGGGCCCGATAGCCCCAACCTGCCCAGGAGCGTGCGGATGCACTCTCGCGGGCCCATCGCCGATCCATTGGCGATGTACCGCCGGTTCCAGATCGATGTGCCCCCTCCCTGAGCCAGGCTCCCCCTCATATCGTTGTCGTCCCTCAGGGTGCGGTAGGCTCATGCGGTGTCGGCGCGCCGGCGACGCCGGCGAAGGCGTTCGAGGCTGAATTCTGCGACGCGGAAGCATCGAGGGACACGGTGACGCCACTGCACCAGACGGAATTCGATCCTCGAGCGATCGGGGCCGCGATCGATTCCAGGCTGAAGGATCGGCGCGGGGTCAATCGTGCCCCCCTCGCTCGCGGCCTCTGCGGCTTCGCTGCCGTCGTCGTCGTCGCCGTCGTCGCCGTCGTCTCACTCGCTGTCGTCGCCGTCGCCGTCGTCGGACTTGTCGCCCGTCCTCCTCCCCCCGCCCTCCGCCCGTCGCTCCAGTGCTCGCCCTGACCCTCGTGGTCCCTCTGCTCCCCCCCGATCTACTCGCGGCAGCAGCAGGAAGACGGTGCAGCCGACGGTGGCTGGGCCAACGGTCGAGTTTGGCCAGAAGGTCGACACTTCCAAATCGAGGGTGCCCTGGTGTTCTGTGCATGCCGTTGCTGCATGCCTTGGGCAAGGGTGCCCTGGGTTAGAGGCCAAGGTGCCTTCCAAGAGTCTTGTGTCGTCTCGCGCCCTCTCTGATCAAGCTCGACTGCATCCTTCCCTGACTACGGGCAGGCCAGCTCGCATGCACTGAGGAGGAGGAGGAGGAGGAGGAGGAGGAGGAGGAGGAGGAAGAGCAGGAGCAGGAGCAGGAGGAGGAGGAGGACGAGGGCGAGGACGAGGAGGAGAAGGAGGACCAGTGGAAACCCAAGAGTCATCAACGATGTTGGAGTAAACCCTCCCTCCAAGCTTCCTCTTCATAGGCCCCTACAACGGTTTATTTCCACTGGGGGAACTGCCTCGTTGGAAGACAACCGTTCGAAGACTCTGAAGCATGCGAAAACATTGTTCTCGGGATTCCAACGCCACGGATGAGCCTGACTGTTGCGTCTTGACGATCTTGAATCGTGCCAGACCGCCATTCCTGAGACTTCAACACATTGAATTATCGTAATTGCTGGCCCTTAGAATCCTGAATCCTCCCCCCCATAAAATTGATATGCTGATCATAGGAATCCGTGAAGCCCTCGCAATTTCTTGTACGAAAGTGCGGGGCGCTAGGGCGAGAGCCACATTTTGAAAACGACCCGCCCTCAATCCGTGAAGCTCTTGCAAATTTTGAAAATGAATGTGCGCGGCGCTAAGGCGAGAGCCACATTTTGAAAACCACCCGCCCTCCATTTGTGAAATTGTTGTCATGCTTAAAGGCGAGACGCCCGACCCGCCCTAAAAACTGGCCTCGGGGTGCGACAGGGAGAAATTGTTTATCAGGAAAAGGAATACAGGAGGAGGGGTTGGGGGGGAGGAGACGAAGGAGGAGGAGGAGGAGGAGGAGGAGGAAGAGGAGGAGGGAGAGGAGAAGGAGGGAGAGGGGGAAGAGGGAAAAGGGGGGAGGATGATGCGTGGTCCGGTTCCCCCTCTGCCCGCGCGTCTGCCGCTCGCCCCAGAGGAGCACCGGCGCGCAAGAAAAACCGCCCGCTCCACCGGAGCGCGAGGGCGCGTGAAAGAGACCGCCCGCCCGCTCCTTGCAGAGCGCCAGGTGGGTGAGGCAACCGCGCGCCAAGACGCCCGCCCAAGGAGAACTCGCAACAGTGAGGCCACGAGTTCCGGCGCGCCTCGTCGCCGCCCTCCTCCTCCTCCTCCCCCTCCTCCTCCTCCTCCTCCTCCTAGCCGTTCTGGCCCAAGTTTTTGGGCTTGCAGCAGTACACCTTCAGAGCGGCCAAGTGCTGCTGCGAGTTGATTTTGGCTCGGTGATCAGTGAGCTCCTGCTGGAGCAGCGACGAACTCTGCCCCGCGGGGGCGCATGGCGAATAAGGATGTGGTCAAGGGTCCCAAGCTACCGTACTGGGGATGCCAGACATGCGGGCTCACGTCCAACTGGGCGTGCAGGCTTCGGTGCCGCTGCGGGGCCCCAGCTCCCAAGCACGTCATTGCGAAGGCTAAGTCGTTCGGTGGTGCTGGTGGCCCTGCTCGTGACCCTGGTGGTGGCGGCCCCGCGCCGAAGCTGGGCGAGCGTCAGCAGTCTAAGCTTGAGAAGCAGATCGCGGACATGCAGAAGCGCATCGACTCCTTCATCAAGGCGGCCCAACCTCGCGGTGGGACCGGGGGGCCCCAGGGCCCAACTGGTGGAGGAGGAGCTCAGCCACCCTCTGCTCAGGGCGCGGAGACCGAGGAGGATCCCTTGGTCACCCAGGCCGCTGAGCTCGAGGAGGCGATCAAGTCTTGTGACAAAGACCACATGGCGACGGCGAAGGATCTCTTGCTGGCACAGTTCCGCGATGTGCGTGCCAAGTTGGAAGCCAAGAAGTCGGACATCACGATTCATACCAATGTCGGGCACAGGTTGGCGAAAGCCAAAAAGCGCCAGACTCAAATCGCTGAAGAGCTGCGCCTCCAGAATGAGTCGATCAAGGAGGCGGAGGCGAAGCGTGATGATTTGGTGGCGAAGCAAAAAGCTTTGGATGCCGAGGTCAAGGCTCTCAACCAGCAGCTCGTGGATTCCATCCCACAGGACGCTCCTGGTCGTGCTGTTCCTCGTGTCCCAAGCTTGGAGCTGCCTACGGAGGTTCTTCAGGGCAAGGATGAAATCAAAGAGATGCTGGAGTCCCAGGCCTTCAAGGACTACGAGAAGCTCTTCATGGAGAATGCTAAAAAGGCGGCCAGTGACAGTAAAGATGGTGTCACTGAACCCGTGCCTATGGATGATGATGAGGAGCTGGACGCATGCTTCCAGGATGCAGCCGATGTCGAGGCCTTCTGGGAGAAGCACAAGGGTGACAGGCGAGCGATCGTGGAGGCTCTGTCGGCAGCCCGACTCAAACGACCACGCACAGCTCAGCTTTGACGATGATCGGTTAGGCGGAGATGATGATGCTGGATTGTCTGAGCCATTCGCAGTACTTGGTGACGCGCAGTGGCCCACCCCCCAGCAAGCGGTGCTCTCCCCGCCCAAGAATATTGGTCGACGCATTGCTGCGTCGAGTGGGAGTGCGCACCATGGTCCAGGGCCAGTACGGGGAGATCGACCAGTCGAGCCTCTGCGCGTGCCCACCGTCTTGACCGATGATGCTTTTGATTTTTACGTGATGCACTTCGGGGTTGACTGGACAGTCCAGCGGCAGAACTCGTTGCGCATCCAGTGGCGCCTGATCGACTACCTGCTCCACGGCAGCTTCGATGATGATCAAGCGGTTGGCGGGCAGGCACCTGTGCTGAGAGTCTCCGAGGCGGAGGCTCAGGGTAGTATGTTTCAGTCGGCCATTTTAGGCCATGTCTCCCCGCCCCTGTCCGACCTGGCGCCCTCTGCGGTCGGGGCCCTTGCGGCTAAGAGGGCAGGGGTGTGTACGCCTACGGAGACATGGTCAGGCCAAGCTCACGTGGTCCCTGGGGCCGTTTGTCGCGACCCCGAGGTCCAGCAGGGCAGCGATTGTGGCACCTCTGCGGCGCATCCTCACCCCCGCCTGGCGCTGGATCCAACTCGAAAAACTTGCTTTAGAGCGGAAGGGGTCGTTGGTAATTGGGCCGCCCAGCAGCAGCAGAGCGTGGGCTCAGCTGCTCCTGGTGGCGCAGGCTCCACCCCCTCTCCCAGCGGCATGCCGTTGTGCTCGGGTTTCAAGATTTCGAAATTCGGGGCCGTCTGTCCGCCGCCAACATGTCGTTTAAAAGCTGACGACCATCCAGGGCAGGTTTTTGAGTGTTACAACGGTAATAGCTGGAGGACCCTAGAGAAACGTCTCACTCGGTCGGAAGCTCTGGTGCTGTTCGCTCAAGAGGTTGGGTTTACCGATGAGATGCAAGGGGGCAAGACGGCCAAGGCGCTCTCGTTAGGTTGGCACCTTCTCTGCGCGCCGTCAACACCATGTGACGGAGGCCAGACATCTGCAGGAGTGGCCATCTTTGCGCGTACGTCGGTGGGTATTCGATGGCCATCGTGGTGCCCGAAGGGCGTGCTGGTTCCCCATAGGCTCATCGTAGTCGAGTTGGACATTCCCCAGTGGCCCAAAGCCCTTGTTGCTGCGTGTGCGTGCCTGTATCATTCGGAGGGCCTCAGCAAACGTAATTTGGATATCCTGAATGCGCGGGGGAGATCTTAGAGGGCCAGCACC